AAAAAAAAAAAAAAAAAAGAAAAGAAAACAGGTTGAATTCAGAGCAAAAGAAAAGTAAATAGAAAGCAAACACAGCCCTTTACAATTTTCTAGGTCAAATCCTCAGTAGCTGTCAAACTGATGAAAGGATGCTTAACCTCGCTCCTAATAAAAGAAATGAACATGAGAACTGCAATAAAATTTTACTTTATCTGTTAGATCACAACCAACCAAAATAAACAAATATTTCCTTGAAACATTCTCTCACGCACTGAGAGTGGGAGTATAATTTATAACATCTCAATGGTGGTTAGTTTGAAAATTTCTATCCAAATGTAAATTCCCATATCCCTTGACCCAACAATTCTACTTCTAGGATTTTATTCCCTGTGGATTTACTTGCACATTGTGAATGATTTCTGTTCAAGGATTCTCAGTGAAGTATCGTTTATAATAGCAAAAGATTGCAAGTAACAAAAAGAATTACCAGAGGGGGCTGCTTGAATAAATGATGGTATATTCACGCCCATCCGTGAAGGAAGGCATCAGCCCTCCCTGTTGTGGTAGAGCGTGCGCTGAAGTCAGGAGCAGAACAGTTTGTATGGAACGCTGTCATTTTATATAAAAAGGATAACACAGGGAAGGAGGGCGATGCTTATAAATGCCTAGACTATCTCCAGAAGGACACCTAAAAGAATCCCAAATGTTCTCTTTGGGGAGGAAAACTGAGTTACTGAAGGAGATAGGTGGGAGGCTGGCTTACTTTGAAAAAAAATTTTTAAAGCTCTCATTATAAAAGTTTTAGAAACTTCTTTTCTTCTGACCCATTTCAGAGTAAGTCATCGATTTAATTACCAAGGCTGCTTCAAAAGTAAAACGTATCACCCCATATACTTCATTGTGTATTCTTCACAAACAAGGACATTCTTCTCCAAACCTACAACTCTGAAAATCGTGACGTTAACATTAATATATCCTTCCATCTACTCCTCAGATCCAATTCAAGTTTCACTCGTGGTCCCAATAATAATGTCCTTTTTCTAACGAACAAATCAATGAATAAATTCAGGCCATAATCATGTCAGTCAGTCCAGGCCAGACTCACGCACTAAATTCAGGTGTCATCTCTCCTCCACCCAGGATGGTGTCGCGGTTTTCTTTGACTGTCATGATCTTTTGAAAATTATCAGCCAATTATTTTGAAGGAAATCCCTCATTTAAAGCTGACGTTTCCTCCTGAAGAGATCCAGGTTATGTACTTTGGCAGGAAAGAACTGAAGTGACACCCTATTTTTTTTCCTTGCATCAGGGGACACACGACTCCTGGTTTTCCTACTAGTGTGTTCTGGTGATGTTAACATTAATCACTTAACTAAGATAGAGTTTGCCTTCTATTGTGAAGCTACACTTTTTCCCAGTTAAATAATAAATATTTTGTTGTGAGATACTATGAGAATATTCCAGATCTCATCAAGAAATGTTTTCATTTTACCTATTTATGTGTATTGTTAAGGACTCACAAATTTCTATTTTATTCAGTGGGCTATAATTTATTACTATTGTTACTTTGATACTTAGATTTGGCCACTAGGAGCTCCTCTTATAGCTCATATATCTTAAGTATATCTTATATATTTACATCTGTATTTATTTTTACCCAAATATTTTAAAAATCACTGCAGGGTTTATTCCAGTTTTCTCCCTCTGCATATTCATAACTCCTATCTTTCCTCCACAGTGGAAGCCTGGCTCCCGCTATGTCACCACTAATTTAATCAGCAGCTCTGTGGGGGTCGGCCTCCTATCAGTGCCGCTGCTACCCCCAGCCTCCCAGTCCCTCAGTGGATACCCTTTAGCCCACTCAGACTTTGCCATTTTTTACCAGGCTGCATCCTAATGCCCTTAGGGCCTTGTCACTGCATGCCAACCTACCCTGTCACCCTCTTGCCATGGTGCTCTCCTCTGAATTTCCAATACCCCACACCAGGCCATCACTGTCACCCATTGCACAGACGCTCTCCTTGCACCTCTGGGGCTCTGACAACTATGCCAGGTGCTTACCTCACCCCATCTGGGCCCTGGTTCTCTGCATGGGGCCACACTACTGTATAGGAGCCTCACCCCCACTGAGACGCTGACACCATGTTCCAGGTCAGGACTCTACTGCTGCCACCACCATCTCGTGCCACCCACACTGGCCACCCCGCTTACTCTGCTCTGGATGTAATATGCCCAGCCCCCTACACATAGACACCTACTTTGCTCAGCCCCACCTATCGGCTTCCAGACAGAATCATTCTGGTAGAGAAGAAAGAAAAAGAAAAAGTAGGGAAACATAAGGGGAAGAAAAAAAGGCTGGATTTCCACTGCCTACCCTTCAGTTTAATTTTCTACCATATGTATATATTCCTATTCAAAAACAGATGGCTTAATTTTCAATAATTATAACTGAAACTTTGAAAGGAAGGAGCAGTGGGAATGAACTAAATTTTCCTTGTTCAGAGCAAAGTACTGGTACAGTGGTTAATGTGTGAAAGTTCACAAAGAAGGAAACAGAAGCTTAAGCATATTTCTTAGATTTCAGTGGTAGCCATTAGAACTAAAATCAGAACTTGCCATAAGAAGTTATCTCGGAGGGTGGAGGGATTACTAGGAATGGGAGGGGCAGAGCAGACAAGTATATTTTTCATATTTAAATCTTGCTTCCTCTCGAAGGTATGCTGATATGTAAAGATAATAATTTCATTCATTTACAGAAAGACAGCACACTGGATGCTGCCGAAGAAATCATCAAAGCTTGGAATGTGCCCAAGTGTTGATACTGCAGAACGGGTCAGCATTCTCATTAGATAACCTGGTATGGAGTGTCTGCTTCGTGCTGCCACCTGCTGGATGTTGAAAAACAAATATTTCAGTACAAATGGCATTTAAATAAATATTTCCATCATTTTTCTAAACAAGTTAGCCCTACTCCTAAAAATATTCAGGTGTTCTACGGGGTTTTTTTTTTTCAGTTTAAATGTATTAAAACACTTGCCACTATCATTTTGTGAAGATCAGCCTACTAGAGTGGATGGGAACTGTGAGATGCTTAACCTCTCTGTGCTTCAGTTCTCTCAGCATAAAACAGGAAAAAATAGCACCTGCTTCATCTAAAGATTGTGAGGATTAACGCGACCAGTGTATATAAAGCCTGGCAAGCAATACCCACTCACCTGATGTTAGCCAGTTTCACTTCTCCACAGTTGTGTGAAAACTCTTAACCCCTACACCCCTAACCCGTACATCAGTTTCGCTTACTCACCTGTACTTCCCACCCCTTCATTTACCAATGGCCTTGAACTTTGCTCACAGTTTTGCCTCTCTATCCCAGATACTGCCATCATTCCAAGTGGCTTCAAGGTCCACGTGGATAACCTAAGGCTTTCCACACCTTGACCCTCTCACCTTTAGTGGTGCTCACCTCCACTCCACTTCAGCCACCCACTCCTGTGGGCACTCCCCGAGGCTTTCATCATTTAAGTCTGCTTCACCTTTGGGATAAATACCCATCTCACACTGTAACCACCCATCCTTCCAGCTTGTGCTGCCTCACTCGCAACCAGCCTCTCCAAATATCACTTATTCAAATCCGTTATTTTGCAAAAAATCGTACGTGGCTCACTTCCATCAGAATCAACTAAAATCCTTGTTGAAAATAGATTTTGGCCTTTACCCTACACCTAATGAATCTTGGGCTGCAGCCTTCCTGGGGAATTCCTACACATGCTAAAGTCTGGTGATTATTGCCGTGGTCTATAGAATGCTCAACTTGATTCCTATTGCTTCTCTTGTATCTTCACTCCCTCATCTAGCTTTGACTTCACTGTTCATCACTTCAGTCAAGATGATTTTGCTGCCTTGAATTACCCCACTGTTCTATCTCACCTCTTGAAAAACAAAAAATTCAACACTGGAGTTGAAGGCCCATGCCTGCACCTGGGCTGCAAATTGCACAATTGGGCAGGTTCCAGCCACTATGACGCCACATCGTGAACCTGAAATAGATATAGTTCTTCAGGGCTCCCCTAATGAGGTTTCTCTACCTTTTACCATAGTAGTAATTCCTCATATTCTCCCATTCTCTCTAATAAAAATATCCAATGTTCATTCTCCTCACGCCTGAAAGCCCATCCGCAGCAGCAAATGACCTCATTTTCCATTTCTGTGGGGGAAAAAAAAAATACCCAAGCTCCCAGCCCAGATCTTCCAACTGGGATCCTACCAATACGCTGCGACTTAACCTGTACCAGCACCCATCCTTTCTTCATTCCTGCCAGTGATAAAGGGCATCCTCTGACCTGTCTAACTGACAGGTGAGGGGTAGATAGCAGAGTGGGGAGAACTGTTAGTTAAAAATTACCAGGGCCGGGCGTGGTGGCTCATGCCTATAATCCCAGCACTGTAGGAGGCTGAGGTGGGAGGATTGCTTGAGTTTAGGAGTTCAAGACTTGTCTGAGTGAGGGTGAGACCCCGATTCATGAAAAAATGGGAAAAAAAAATGACCAGGCTCGGCCATCCAGAAGGAAGCTCAAGACCCTAACAGCCAACTACTGCACAGCATTAAAACTCCCATGGAAAATTTTTAGCCTGTCCACTCTTGCTGAGGACTTAGTAAGATTTTCACCAGGGTTTATAGCGGCTTTCTGCAGCTCTGGACTTGTCTGCTTCTAATCCGACCACCTGTGGTCTGAATCTTATTTCTTCTCACACTCTCAAAATCAGTCCATTCTCTTGTACCTTCCACCTCTTCTGGCCCCTAGCTCAGAAGTTGGGCGTGTTCAAGTCTCTCCCGTCTTAGAAAATCCTTTTCCTGAATCTATCTGCTATCCTGTTAACCTCTTCCTCTTCAGGGCAAAATTTCTTCCTTCCTCCATCTTTCCTCTCTCCCCCCCTCACCGTGTTCCCTCCCTTTCTTTCCTTTCTCTCCTGCCTTCCACAAATATTCCTTGAACTTTTATGGGCCAAGTACTGTACTAGGCACTGAATATTTATCAGTGAACAAATAAAGATCCTCCTGTTCTAGGACTTTCCACTTAGCCACAGGAAGGAAACTAAATAATAAACATAAGGAAATAGGTTGTATGTGAAATAATATAGGACCTCAAGAATGATTATATGGATGATTGAATCCAAAACGTGAGCATGCCATTCCATTTCTAATATATAAAATAATGTCTATTGCAGCATTATATAGAGTTACTCCAAATGAGAAACCAAAATACTCTAATATTTGGGCAGTATGGTAATATCGTGGAATGCCTTAAAGCAATGAAGATAAACTACAGCGACACACAATAGCATGAATAAATTTCAACATTGTTTTCTTAGGGTTTCTTCACAGTGCCCTCAAAGGGCCAGCTGGAGTTCTCAGTAGACGATGTTCTGTAATACCAGAATCCAATCCTGTGCTCACTGAAGCCTCACATGTCAGCCCCAACCTTGGGCATCTAGTATTTCTATCTGCCCACTGGGGTGAGGGTTTCCATAGTTTGCTCCAATGGGCCTAAGACTAGCTTCACCTCTGGGTGATCCCAGGGACAGAGGTCACCATCCTTCCCATTGAGCAGCAATAGGGAAAACTGAATTAGGGAGGAGGAGGGAATAGATTTCAATATGGAGTCTTTGGGTGGCTTTGGATGGCTTGGTGTTTGGACCAAGGAAACTTTTAAGTTTGACCTAACATCCCTGGGATTTTAAGGCCAAGAACAAACCTGAGCCTTCCAGATACCCACCTAGATATCCAGGCCCAGCTGTGTTTAGAGAAAGTATAGTTACTACAATGGGAAGCCTAAAGGAGGGGCTGGAACCAGAGACTCACAGAGCAGGAACACCACAGGCTCTGGCTGATATTTCCAGCATATATCTATTACCAAGTGCCTGTTGCTGGTGCCATGTTTTTGCTGTTGCTGCTCAAAATATCTGGCCTTGCAGTTTTAAAATAACACCTGCATTTGTGCTCATCTACCTGGAAGTTTCCAGCCTCTTCCCAATAGTTGGGCATTGTGGCAGGTGCTTGTAGTCTCAGCTACTTGGGAAGCTGAGGCAAGAGAATGGCTTAAGCCCAAGAATTTGAGGTTGCTGTGAGTTGTGACGCCACGGCACTCTACCGAGGGCAACATAATACAACTCTGTCACCAAATAAAAAAAGATGGGGAAACTGTGCCAATAGTTTAGGTGCATACTTTAATTAACTGTACCGTTTCTTGTTTGAGATGTAACAACTAAACTTTTATTTTGAAATCATACATTTCATGGTTAATGATCTAGAAGTGAGACCTGGAGGTGCAGCAGCCATCTTACATTTGTGGGGCGTGAGGGCTCAGGCCTACATGCTAAGGGGAGCAGAACAGAAAGATGCAAAGGGACTGGAACTCTGGGAGCAATGTGAAGCCTCTGCCCCTAACCCCTACACTTTGTGATGGATGAGACGGGAAAGAAACCTTATCTGTTTAAACCACAAAGAGTCTTCTGCTATTTACGGATGAACATATTACAATGTGATATAGATTATATGGTACAACGATCAAATTTCTCTTCTAGAAGATAGACCGGTCTGAGGAGAGGGCCTGGAGGCGGAGAGAGGGGTCTATTAGCAGGTTCCTGCAGAAGCCCAGGGACAAGAGGGTGAGGCCCTGAAGGATTTAGCATGAGAGAAGGGCAAATTATCGCACATTTTTGTCCAACTCCTGAACTTTTCTCGTAATTCCTATGATGAAAGTAATTATATAACCACACAATTACCAAATATTTTAAATTAAAAATTATTCCCAGATAAAACAAAGAGTCTCTTTGGTCTCCGTTGGATAAACCCGAGGGTAAAACAAAACCAAACAGAAACCTCAACTGTGTTCCTGAGACTCGAGAATCTCCTTTTATTGCTGCTCTGAGAATACATCTAATTACTCAATCAGGCCAATTAAATAGGAAGTTCACCTGCTGACAAACAGCTGTCTTGGGATATATCAGAATAAATTCTAGAAATAATTGGATTTTCTAATCAATATTAACTTCATCATGTTATACAGCTGCTACTTTCCTTTACATTTTAGATACAGCATTTCTTTCTGATAAGGGTCGAAGCTTTTCATTGGTGGCAAAAATGTCACAGTGAAAAAGTAAAATTTTGTCTTTTTGTCAGTGACAGTAGTCATCCTGTCTGAAGTATTTTTATTTCATGAACTTCCATTGATTATACATGAAAAGCATAAGCATCCACTTTCACTGAAACCCCAGCACGCTATCATTTAAACACCATAACTCCATTTTCTGCATAAATTCCTGAGATGACTTAATATGACATGACTTATAATTATTCTTAAGCATTCTGCTAACCAGCACGTGCATGAAAGAATACAAAACTCACAAAACCTGTTCAGCTTTCTAAAATTCTTCTCTACAATGTCTTTCTCTTGGTGAAACAGAAATGTCCATGCTCCATGCGTGGAAATAATCATTTTAAAGGACTCATGACACTTCTCTGCTGAAAACTGTTCAGTGACTCTGTCTCACTCAGAGTAAAAGGCAGATCTGTCACCATGACTTACAAGTCCCTGCATGACCTAACCCCTGTTCTGCTCTAACCTGGTCTCCTTCTCCCCTTCTCTCAGCACTCTCCGGCACCTTGGCCTCCTTGCCAATTCTTGAACACCAGGAACTTTCCAGACTGATCCTTTCTTTCTTTTCTCTCTCTCTTTTTTTTTTTAGACAGAGTCTCACTATGTCACTCTTGTAAGAGTGCCATGGCATCACAGCTCACAGCAACCTCAAACTTTTGGGCTTAAGTGATTCTCTTACCTCAGCCTCCCAAGTAGCTGGAACTACAGGCGCCCGCCCCAAGGCCCAGCTATTTTGTTGTTGTAGCTGTCATCGTTGTTTGGTAGGCCCAGGCCAGATTTGAACCTGCCAACCCTGGTGTATGTGGCAGGTAACCACTGTTACTTGTTCATAACCACTGAGCTACGAGTGCCAATCCAGATCAGTCCTTTCCACTTGCATTCTCCAGACTACTTCAGATCCCTAACCCATTACCACCTCAGGAGAACCATCGGACCTCCCACAGAAGGTTGTGAATCCCAGCTCTCCCCACCCCCTTTCCTGCCTTATTTTTCTCCTCCCCACTTAACATCACCTAGTTCACAATCTGTTTTTCTCATTTAACTTGTCTATCTCCCTTCTAAATATATGTTTC